CCAGTCTCATGGGGAGGGCGTGATCGTGTGTGCGTGGTCTATTGAACCTTTTGCATGGTCTATTGAAAAAATATGATTGTCTTGTCTAACCGTTAGACATGCTTAACAGGTGAATTATATATGTTTGGTCAAAATCAAGTTTGAATGTGTTTTTCAGTGCATGTGTCCTCTTCTTTGTTAACTCGTTAACTCCATGACTGTCTTGTTGTGTTGTGTAAGTTGAATTGAAAATTTTGTATTATTAAGGGAATGTCCCAAACAAAGGTGAATGGATTGTTGATTCACATATCATAACATCTACATAGCTATTAAAAACCGATGTGGGATTTTGATTACCTGATCGACCAATATTTAGAATGAACGATTTTGGTCAATATTTTTTTACCGGAAGCCAACTTTGCGGCCGACTGTTTAGCGACTCTAGCTCACCACTGTCCTAGCGGTTATCAACGGCTATTAGACCCACCATCGGCAGTTAAACCGTGGTTACAGTATAACTTCATTGGCATTGCTTACTCGCGGAATATAAGCGTCTGACGGTTTTAGGCTCTTTGTACCAAAAAAAAAAAAGTGTTAATACCACTAATTGGCCATATAAATTTACAAAACCTACATTTTAGCCATGTTTTGTAAAAAAACATCTTTTTTAGCCATTTTAGTATGTGAAAATACAAAATTACCCCCAACCCAATTAATTCCACATTTCACTTTCACTTTCACCAAAAAAATTCACTTCCCCCCAAACTTACTTTCAGTAAAAAAGATTGAAAAAAAAAAAATCACTTCTCGACATCTTCATCCCGTGGCGACCTCACCGCTCGACATCCGCACGACCTCGTCGGCTCGACCTCCGCACGACCTCCGACCTCATTCTGTGGCCACCTCTCCGGCTCCACGACCTCTGACTTCGTCCCGTGGCGACCTCACCAGCTCCGAAGAGATCCCGCAAATCCTCCGCAGCTTCTCGCCGGCTCCGAGGAGATCCCGCCAATCCTCCGCAGCTTCTTGTCGGCTCTAAGGAGATCCCGCAATATCTTATTTGGCCCCTGAAATCAGGTATTTGGGGTTCTTGTCCCTTAGTTTTTTTTGTTCAAATTAGGGTTCTTGAAATCATGTATTTAGGTGGACGTTGAGCACGGCTTAGAATGTGTTTTGCTTGAAATCATGTATTTAGGTATTGGCTTGTTCAAATTAGGGTTCCTGTTGCAATTAGAATGTGTTTTGCTGAATAATTAATTTTGGTTCCATCCAATTGAATCACTTCAACTTCATTAGGACCAACAACTCTCCCTTCTCCTTCAAAAAAATTCTCTGTAATTTTATTACTATTTATTACATTTTTTTGTTTTGTATTTATACTGAACTCTATATTCGAGCACGCATTTTCGCCTGCAGGTACTGATTTGAGATTTTTCAACGAGCTTGAAGATGACGAAGCAAAAGTACATCGTGCAGGTTGAACCTTCGAAGCCCGCCAGGGATGGGAAGCCGTCAATCGGACCTGTTTATCGGAGTATCTTTGCCAAGGATGGTTTTCCGGAGCCGACGCCGGGGCTCCACAGCTGTTGGGACATTTTTCGGTCTGATTCTCTCTGCTTTTATCTCACTTGTCCTGTTTCTGTTAGGGAGATTTAGGAGTTTGTTTTATGCTAAGTGGTTGCATTATTTTGTTCTGCAAGTTCTGTGTGGCATTGGGGCCTGAGATCCTCACGGTTGATGTTTGGTTGATTCGATCCTGTTTCTATATATGTATGTGCGTGTGTATGTATGTATGTATGTATGTATGTATGTATGCAATTTCGTATATGTACTTGATTGTTTTCCTTTCTTGTTGTTGAAACTTGAAAAGTTATGACGGGTGATGGTGATGTCAACCTTCGTTTTTGTTTTGATTGCTCGTGCTTTCTCAAGCTGATTTGACTGTGATTTCTGAGGGTTGAAGTAGTTTTTGTGTTTGTGCAACCCAATCTGATTTTTTATTCACTTTTTTGGCAAGTTTGGT